CAGTAAACCCATTCACAAGCTTTTGGAGGACTGGTAACTTATATTTGCATATTCATTAAGCAAATGATGAATATGCAAATAAAATGTGTCGCTGGCCCGATCTGTCCAGCCAGGCGTTCGCCCCCCAGCCCCAATACTCCCCTGGCTGCATCCAGCATTCTGCGTCGGTGTGCACGGCAAGTTGTTCCGCCTCTCCCCCCCCCCCCAATTGTGCGCCATAATTTTTCTAAGGACTGGTATTTTTTTTCTAAGGACCGATACTGGGCCGTGGAGCACACTTTGGGAAACGCTGCATTAGAAGATGATGTGAATTGCAAATACAGTATAGTCTGGGCTATTTGCTTATGTGGGAGTCTCACAGACGTTAGAGGGACCAGTCTTGTCTTTTTTCAGCAATGATGAATATTTTAACTGTGAAACGTCTTAGTGAGAAATGTATGTAAACGCTGAACTTGTGTTATCAGTTAGAAAAATGAAAGGAACAAGTAAACATGAGACATCCATGTTAGCAATGTCACTACGGAGTGGAATGTAGACAACTAGCAACATGTAAATAAAAACACTGATTTAAATTTTAAAATAATAATCCGGATTAACATCTACCTAGACCTGCCTGCGTGAAGAACACACTCCATATTGTAACACGGGACAAATGGCTGACCCCCCCCCACGTAAGTATCTCAGGAGCCTCATGTAAGAGCACCGAATGCAATGCAGTGACCTCAGGGGTGGAGGCAACAGCTAGCATATAAAATCCTACACACCAGCAGGAGAAGGAGAAATGTTGACCAAGAACAAATGCCGGTCCTATCCAAAAGTGCTGCATGGGATCATTGATATCCATGCAAATCAGAATGTAGGCTTGATGTATACGTCTCTGAGGCCATTTCTACATTAGGCGATTATTCCAAATGTACTAAATTCAATTTCTGGACATCTGAGTTTGCAAATTCAAAGTTCCATGTCCTCACGACAGGGAAGAATCGAATGTCGTCTGAGTTAGTGCACCCACGTTAATGGAGCCTGCCTCAGACTCAGGCCCAGGAAGTACTCTGGGGAGCTGCAGGCGGTCTCCCAGTGGCCAATTAGTTCGAATTAGCGGCACAGGAATGTCTACACTAATATTATTTTGGACTTACAAGTTTGGGAATAGCATTACTCCTCAGACTACAGCGTTCGAATTCCACGGCCCCTTCTTGCAGAATAATGGGTTTGATAGTGTGGACACATCACTTAGATAATCAGTATCGGGGGGCTAATTTCAGACTAAGGTCCTAGTGCAGACCAGTCCAGAGAAACCCACTTGGTTCCCAGTATCTGCTTCTAAAGTGGCTTCTTCCAACATCTGAACCTGCACATTCCAGGGAATCAGGGTTTAAACGCTGATGCTTATAGTTCCAAAACATCCTCTCCCCGTTGTTTGTGTCATAAAGGCAACAACCCAAAAAGAATGTGCTTGTTTTACTGTTGACCCCACCGCTCCTCCCCAATTAGCAACCTACTTCCATCTTGCTTTGTAGCGAGTTGAATTATTGTCCAGATCTTGCACAAAAGCAGCATTTCCCTTTTTCAAAAAGTCAGCTTCCTTTTTCTTCGAATGGACAATTTCCAGCGTAAACAGATATATAAAAGGTTGCACTGATTTATGGGTTGTGGGAAATGCATGGCTTGCAGGGTTCAGTCCACCCTGGGAAACTGTTGACTAAAGAAGCCATCTCCTATGAAATTGAACTTGCACCTTGAAGCTTCCAGGCATTGCTGGTGTGTTTTGCTCTGTCCCTTCCTCTGTAAAGAGCATGGTGCCAAGTTAAGGTTCTCAGACATTCTTATCAAAGTCATACACTTCCCTATTTCACATGAGGTTTCCCTCCCACAATTTGCATAGAAATAGAAACTTGCTCCCAGTGTGTTAACACCACGGCCCCTCCATCTTCCAATCATACTTGGGTTTACCTTGAGAGCAGCTGCAAAAGGCACCTGTCCCAAGAGACCTGGCTCACTCCCGACACGTGCTGCGCTCTGCTCCCACAGCGAGTCCCAAATAGCATGAGTGGGACTGCCCATGCTAGCAGCTAGGCAGGTTTGCAAGTTGGGGATCGTAATGCTTGATCCCTAGACCATTGGTTCTCAAAGTGTGGTCCCCAGACTACTAGTGGTCCAACGACTGTCTTGCAGGTGGGCCGCAGGCTTGGGACTTGCCCCCCACACCTGCAGCAGGGAGCCTGCACTGGCACCCCAGCCTCTCTCGCCGCCCAGGTGAGGTTGGCGCACTAGTGCCAGCTTCCTGCTGTGGGGGCGGGGAGCATCACGGGGGAAGGAAGTGACTGGGGGGATGAAAGCGCCGAAAAACTAGTGGTCCAACGACTGTCTTGCAGGTGGGCCGCAGGCTTGGGACTTGCCCCCCACACCTGCAGCAGGGAGCCTGCACTGGCACCCCAGCCTCTCTCGCCGCCCAGGTGAGGTTGGCGCACTAGTGCCAGCTTCCTGCTGTGGGGGCGGGGAGCATCACGGGGGAAGGAAGTGACTGGGGGGATGAAAGCGCCGAAAACAGCTCACCTGGACGGGAGCAGGCCGAGGGCGGGAGGGTCTGGGTGGGAGGTGGGTGCAGGAGCAGGCCGAGGGCGGGAGGGTCTGGGTGGGAGGTGGGTGCAGGAGCAGGCCGAGGGAGGGAGGGAGAAGTGACCCAGGGGGAGCAGGAGCAGGCCGAGGGAGGGGGGGGGTGGGGGGGAGGGGG